AATTAGAAGCTTTAAAAAAAAAAAAAAAGGATAAAAAAAAAAAAAACACCCTCATTCAATCCAAGTTTCAGAAAGTGAAAGAACTTAAAATGTATTATTGTGTATAAACTGTTCCCTTCTAGTACAAGACATCATCAAAAATACAGTGGAAAGACAGGTATTCAATCCCTGCTGAAACTCAATGGAGGCTGGGCACCCAACTCCCATCTGCATCTTTGAAAATTTCCCCTAGATGTTAAAGCTGCATGTACACAGCTCCCAAAAAAAGACAGTAAACCAGGGGTATCAAGTTCTCTTTACATGCTGGGTCAGATCCGGACCACAGAGCTCCTTCTGGGCCAGACCTAGCCAGCAGCACACAGCAGCAGTGGCACCTTTGGTTTCAGCACAGGGCACAGCACAGCTCTGGTTGTGCACACACGTCCTTTGCCAGAGCCAGGACTGATGCTGTTGTCATATAACCTGTGTCACAGTGACAGCTTGACTCCAGCATGGGGTGGCAACAGGGCCAGTGGCAGAAGAGCTGGGGTTACAGCAGTGGTAATGAGATAAGTGGCCAAAGGGCAATCAGGGCTGTATCAGCCCTCACTTGCCCTCCTACCACCAACATCCACATCCTCCAAGGCTCAGAGGCCCTGGATTCTACATCAGTTCACTTCTCTCAGCTATGCCCCCTAACTTCTAGTGGCCTCCTGGTAACCTGGCAGACCGAATCTGGGTCTGCAGACCATGTCTGACCCTCTGGAGTAAACAAAAAGCAGAACACAGGAACATTTGTTGCAAAACTATACCTTTTTCCTAAAGTGTAAAATCAGTTTTCATGCTTGGCAAGTGTCATCTATTTTCTTATCTAAATGAAGTCATTCCACACTGACAAAATAGTTTATAGCAATGAGCAACAAGTTACCTTGCTCCTTACCTACCTTGGAATTTTTTAGATTTCAAGTATAAATATTGCTGTAAAGTACAAGTATTAAATAACAAAAAGAGTGAAAGAAAAAATGGAAGGAAAAAGAAAAGAAAGTAATGAAAATAAGAAACAAGCAATGGTTTCAGGATATTAAACAATTCTAAAAATTAATCTTGTACGTATACTAATTTTTTCTCTTTAAAGAACTAGACAGCATCTTAACCAACCTTCCCTCACTATGCACACTAACCACCCATGAGCCTCCCACTCGTTGCATCAGAAAACAACTGAATAATATATTTTAGCTCAGGTCTAACAACAGAATATCTATCTATTGATCAGTTTGGTATTTGTTTAAATACCATGAGTCCCATCCAAACATCCAATTAAAAAAATAGTAAAGAGATAGGAAGGGCTCCCAAAAAGTCTTGGGCAAGCCCAGCATTTTCTAAATATTGACACAGTACTCCACAGTATAGTACTAGGGAGTACTATACAGGTAAGTACACACCCCACCCACTCCACATGCATTACGTAAGAAACCAGAAGCAGAGCATACTCTTCTTAAGCATATACTTCTGGGGCTGAAAAAAGGCTGAATAAATGTATTGTTTAAACAAGTTAATACACAGCACTTTCAACCTCAAACCTGCCCAGCTCGCTTCAGTTTCAAGTCTTCTTATAGTAGATCTGAAGCTATTAGAAGCCTTGAAAATGAGGGAAGCTAGTCAGCTTGAAAAAGCAGTAAGAAAGAGACAAAAATACCAGCCATGAAACTGACTTGCTCCCTTCGTTTTCAAGGTACCTAGTAGCAGCTTTATGACAGCCGCTTCCTTCACTGATTGTGTTTCAGTTAAAACAGTGATTTCCAAAGGAGGTGCTGCAAGAGTGGTGAAAGTGTGTTGCAAAAAGAGGGCTGGATGGGGCCCTTGCTATGCTGGCACTGCACCAGCTCTACACAGTAGGATCAGGCCCACAGACCAGCAAGTGAAGTGAACCACCAAATTTTAAATATGGGAAAATAACGTGCCCCAGGTATCAAAAATATAGGAAACATCCTGTTAAAAGGAGTACAATGAGTTACAAAGTAGACATTACTATTAGTATATAGTTAACCATAGCACAATTAAATTTAAAAAGCCAACAGTGGAACTGAGAGATGCTAGGCATATACCAGTGTTTTATGCACTTACCTGATACACAGATAACTGAGGTTTGCTGGTATGCATGCAACAGGCCATAAGTTGGGATGGGATAATGTAAGCAAATTATATGCATACCAGACAAACAGGGTACACAATAGCATAGCCAGCTTAACATGGTACTGTCAATGTCCCTTCTGAGAGGCAAAGCTTATTGTTGTGTACCTAGCACCTCCCTGAGCTGGCTGCACTGCTTCTGCACTTAACAGAGGCACAGCACATCTCAGTACAGCACTTGCTAACAACACACTGGGTCAGTATAGATAAGACGTGGTCTAATGGTTCACATGCTATTATTGCATTTCTAATGCTAAAGATTCCAAGCTGTTGGTTGTGAAAAACCCCACCATCAAAAAAATAAATAAATCATTGTTTCTGAATGCGTTTGGAGTGTTAGTTGTACAATACAATTAGGTGCAAGTTAACTTTGCTGCTGTATGCATCATACCTTTTTATTGTAAGATGCCCATCCACTTCAAAAATACTATGTTTTCAAAAAACAACAAACCTGCTACTATTTGTGACCTACAATATTATTCTTTTTTCAGTTTGCTTACTCAGCGTACTTAACACTTTTTTTATTTAATCCAACGCAACTTTGTCTTGAGCCCTACAACACTATGAACAGGACAATGATAAACTCAGAAAGACAGCAAAAGAAGAGGCATGGGTACTGTCAGTATTTTTGGCACTGCTATTCTCAGATATGCCCCAAAACTGCTTATAAACTAGAAGACCAACAGAAAAAAATTATCCTCCTAAGCAAAGAAAAAAACCTTTGATTTTCTCAATGCTGCTTTGTCAGATTTAAGTTACCCATATTCTAAGAATTAATAGTGTATATTAAAAAGTCTACTGTTCTTCTAAATGCTTCTTAAGTTTTGAAAGTATGAGACTACATTCATATTACACCAATAAAAGATGTTGTTCTATTCGTATTGTTTAAGAGCCAAAGAGGATTTTTTTTAATTAGCATGACTACAAAAGTATATACTGATAGCTTCATGCAAGCATTTACCAGTTAATGTTACCCTCAATTAATAATCTTATGCTTAACCTCCTATGAAGAACACAATGATTTACAAAAAGCACACTAAAAGAAGCTCTATTATTATACTTTCTATAGTAATTCTCTTAAATAATAAAACTTGCATAGTATTTTTCACTCAGCCATCACAGAAAGCTTTACCAAGGGGACAGTAAATTTTCAGTGCTTATGACAACTAGAGTATTATTAGCCCTTTCCCATCTACATGGCCTGTTGCTCTGTGGGCATAAGGCCCATGTTCCCAATGTGTGTCAAAGAGGCCTATCTACACAGCCTACAGTGACTATACATCCTAGTTTGGCCAGGATAGTCCTGGATTTCGTAGGCTGGCCTCGGACAGTCAATCAAAATTTAAACAGAAGTCCCAGAATCGCAGAGGCGTAGAGTATGGTACAGCAGGGAGGTGGAGTGGTATGGTGTGCGAGGCAGCTCCCTCCTGAACTGCGCTGACCTCCAGGTGGTGGGGGAAGTGCTCCACACATCCCAGATTTCCTTATGGAGAGCTGTCCCTAGGATACAGCAAATCGGGGCAACCACCCCAGGCCCCACACTTTGGAGGGGCCCCACAGAACTGGATCCCCAGAGAGGCCATGGCCCCTCCTGCAGGGCCTGCCTGGAGCTGGAACTTGAGGCCCGCACCAGAGAAGAAGCAGATACCCTTTCCCCAAGGGGTACCACAGCCCCGCACAGACTGATCTGCCCCAGGCCCAGGCCCAGACCCAGACCCCCCCTAGGTTCAGCTCTGCCCTTATGGTTACCCTAGCTATCCCTCTTCGTTGTATGATGTCTGTGTTTTTAATTGCCCGTGTGTGTGTGTGTCAAGAGCCGATACTGCCACGTAATTCACTCCATGGCACAGGACAGCTCCTTACAGAATAGATTCTGGTTTTCTCTTCCCTTTCATTTTTAACAGGCTTCCACGAGGCTCCTGGAGTTCCTCATGCTGGCGTTCGCGCCATCAAGAAAGATCTATGAAGGAGAAACACAGCCCCCTCTTTCAGTCCCGGCCCACTTCCACCTGTACAGCAGTAGTCTCAAGTACCAGCGCTCACTTTCGAGCATCCTCCTGCTCCAGCCAAGGTGCTGGGCAGCTGCCTGTGGGCGAGGGGAGCCCGACCTGTGTAGTTTCACTCCCTACAGCTCCCTGCCCCATCCCATCTGCAGCTGCTAGAACCTGCCTGCGGGCGACAGGAGGGACCTGCCCTGACCCCGCTGGGCAAACGCAGCGGCTCAGCGCCCACCTCTGCGGGGAGCCAGCCCCGGACACCTACCCGACGTTGGGCAGCCCGACGATGCCGACTTTCAAGGACGTCCCGAACCTGCCGATGATGGGGTGCGGTTTGGCCTCGTCCCCTCCCTTCTTCGGGGGCATCTGCAAGGGCAGAGCGCGACATGCTGAGCGGCTCCGGGTTGCGGACTCCCCCAATCCTGCCGCCCGGGCGCCGCCGATACCTTCCTGGACGCCATGGCGGCCTCGCCGGGTGCATGGTCCCCTCCTTCCCTCCCTCCCCGCGCTGCCGCAGGGCTCCGGCCTGGCCCAGCTAAAGATAGCCGTGGCCCCCGGAGCGTAGATGGCTGGGCCGAAGAGCAAGGCGCCACCACGCCCCGGCCCCGCCCGTGCAACCGGCGCTGTCTGAGGCCTGTTCGGCGGCAAAGGGCCCCTCCCCTCCGCCCCGCTGAGGTGGTGGTGGCTCCCGCCCCCCCGGGGGCCGCGGCTGGTGCGCTCACCTTGCTGGGAGGCGGGGGAGGCGCTGGCACAGGCCCCTCGCACGCGGCCACGCTTCCCGCACGGCGGCCGGCGGAACAGGCGGAGCCCACGGCCTCCTATTGGCCGGGGCCGCCCAAAGGGGAAAGGTCACGCGGAGCGCTGGGGCGGGGCTCGCCCCTCCCCCGGCTCCGCGGGCACTGCCGGTCCCGTACCGCGCGCTGCACCGCGCGCCCGCGGAGGCCATGCACCGGGCACTGTCAACGCGTGGCGCTCAGCACCGTCCTTTGAGATTTCCCGGTGCTGGAGCTGGCAGGAGTCCCGGTGCTGGTGACCGCCTGCTCACTTACACCGGTCACAGACACCCCCGGTCCTTCGCACTGGCAGTTGCTGCCTCGTAACTCCGTGGCTGCTTGCCCTCCGGCCCAAGCGGCCACCCACCTATGGCTGCTGCTCTCCCAGCAGGAGTTTTGAGCTGGTGCATAGTGGGGCACACGAAGGCCTCTTCTCTTCCAGTCTGGAAAACAACATTAACAAAAAAAAAAAGCCCTATGGTCCTGACTGCTCTTCACATCTGCTTAATAAACAACAAAATTGAAAACCTTCAATCCTGGCAGAATGCTGCTTTTCTTCCTTTTTTACCACCCATTACAAAGGCTGGCAGAGCGCCGCCCATTAGCTGTGCAGCCTGTTTTATCTCATGGTATTGTTTTCACATCCTTTATAAAAGACTTAAGGATCCTTGAGAAAGGAGAGAGATTTGGTGAATTTGACTGGAAGAGGAAGTCACACTTTTAAGCTTTGTGTGAAGATACTTCAAGTCTTGTTGAAACATAGAGATTGTATCTTAATCTATGTTCCAACAAGACTTGAAATACCACTTTGATTTCCCAAATGTAGTGCATGAGGTCAGACTGGCGTGCAGCCACTGACCAAATCTCCTGTGCCCATCACATATAGGACCTAGCCTGTAAACTGACCACATGGCACTCATCCAGTCCATGGGGCCAAAAGTTTTGGCACTGCTGTTTTAGTGCATTTGCCTTTTTCACAGACACATCACATTAGTGGCTCTTTGCCATTCTATAATCAATTAATACATTCTGGCCTTTCTCATTCTGTCAGTTAAAAATGATACCCTCCAAGTTTATAGCAATAATTTTTGCTATTAGCTTTTAAGTACATGCCCTTAGTTTTTTGTACTATAACATTTTCTGTCATTTTTACTACAACAGTCTGATATTTTGATTTAACAAACTTCACACATGCTATTCTAATCCTTCTCTGTATTGGTAATGCTTCTCAACTTCAATTAGTACACTTCTACTTTTTTGTGCCAGCATCATTAATATAAAACCAGTTGCATCTTCAAGCAGTATTCCTAATACCATTCCTCCAGCCCAGTTTTTCCCCTCTCAATACAATCAGTTGTTTACTCTTTAACCAGTTCCTACCCACCAATTTTGTACTAATTCTTATCTTCTCCAGTTGAATTAACAATTTCACATAAGCTACTGTATCAAATGCTTTACTGAAGTCCAGACAAGTTAGATCTACTGTATTTTCCTGGTCTGTTTTTATAGCAGAGAGGCATCAGAATGATCTGCCATGATCTACCTTTGGTAAACTCATGTTGTATTGTATCCTGTTTTCTATTTACCTTAATTTATTTACTTATTTGTTCCTTTCAAATGTATTTAAGTAGTCAGGGTCTAACTAACAGGCTTGCAGTTCCCAGATCACTTCCCTCACCCCCCTTCTTAAACACAGGTATTACATTTGCTGTTTTCCAGTCATATTGTACTATCCCTGACTTGATAGGTTTATCAGTATTCCTTGCTGCCAGACCTTCATGTGCTAGTTCTTTCAGTATCCCTGAACAGAGATTATCTGATTCTTGCCCCCTTCCCAACTGCAGTATATTAAGCTCTTTGAACTTTGGCTCCATCTCAAATATGGAATTTTCTTTTGTCATACCCTCATTTCCAGAAAATAGTCTGCCTTCATGATTCAGATGTTCTAACCCAAGTTTGTTAATTCAGGTTCAATAGCAGCGAAAACAAAGTAACTTGCATTTTAATTCTGGTTAGCATCTCAAGTTTATTTATATCTCAAGTTTTATTTTCTCTGTGATGCGGAGCTTCACTCACAATGAACTCTATAGCAGACTTCTACAAATTAAGTCCACAAGCTGGCTGGAAGCCACTTGACACACCAGAATGCTCTCAAGGGTGCCAATATTGCTATCTAGGAATCATCAGAAATTTTGACCCAGCTGCACCATGAAAGAGCTCATTTGAACTGATAACAAGAATTTGTACTGTGTCATACCCAGGTCATCTTTATTATCACTGAAAAATTAATTAATTATTCTGAAACCATCTCTATTTATTGACCAATACTGTACAGGATATCTCTAGTATTGGTGTGAATCTCATTACTCAGATACATTGCAATCAAATTTATCTATAATTACCGAAGAGGATTTTTTTAAAACAAATCTAACAGAAATTTACCGGCTGTATAGCAACAAAGCTTCCACCAGAAAAAAGCTATAGCTAATATATACCAAATTCAGAGTCAGCTTACAAACAAACAAACAAATAAAACAGTAACATATATAAACCAGTTTTAGGTATGTAGGGGGGAAAATATTTAGATTAAATATTGTTAAAGTTCACTTTATTTCTCCTGGCCAAGTGAATTAAAATGTCATGTTACAAAAAATAAATGATATGCAATATATGATACACAAATCCTATCATTTTGTCTAAATTTAAACATAAATGTAGATCATTTATTTGCAGCCGCTGCAAGTAATAATTTTCCACACGTTAGAAAACAGTCACCTCAGGCTGTTGATATTGAAAGAAATGTAAGATAGGAGTGACAGGAACAGATTTGGATGTCTTTTCTTATCAACTGTCTCGCAGCCAGATAGCAAAACGTACTATCAATCTCAGAAGTTCCAGTCCAAATTAAAACAGTTTCCCTTCAAACTCTCTAGGACACAGGAGGGGGTGATCTTTTCTTATTGCCTGCTATCTGATGGGGCAGAGTTTGGGTGCTCACTCAGTAACAAAGAAGGCTCAGAAATATTGGAATCCACAGGTTCCCTGGCAGTTGGTCATGGAAAGAAAGCTCTCAGGAAAGTGCAAGTGACAGCAGGACTCCCCAGGAGGAGGAGGAAACAGGGAGTGAGGGAAAGTTAATAGGAATCAGGTGAAAGTCTCTGAAGACAGTGTCAGGGAGTGAAATGAAGCAGAGAAATGGGATGGAGCAAAAGCAGCAGCTGGGAATAAAGTAGATAAGGAGGAAAAACAGAGCGAAAACCCCACCTAAAAGGATAAGCATCTCCTGGGGGTTATCAAGTCTTCCTGTGCCAAGTGTGAGCATGACTTGCTGCTTTTGATTACAGGTAACAAAATCTGTGATGTGTTGCTTTTTCACGTGTTGTGTAAAGTCTTTTCTCTGAGGAACAACCCAGTTTCCAGCAGTCTGTGGAATAAGCCAGAGCAGGACCCATGGGAGGACAGCAACCCTGTGTAATAGTATGCAGCAACGGCTCAGGATGGTTTCCCATAGCAAATTTTAACGGGGCTCTCATTCCTTAACTGTAATATTATAAAACCTCACTGTTTTAAAAAAGTACAACTTGACAGAAACAAATATGCTTTAAATAGGCATAACCTTAAATACAAATATTTTCCCTCTAACTGGACAGAGGAAGAAACCAAGAGGTGCTTAGCTCTGTTCATTGGAAGTCAAGCAGAAGGCAGGGCCAGGTGGTTCCAGGGGCATGAGATTTTGTTGGCAACTACCTACTTTGTTAGACGCTGTGACACAGGTTGTCACCTATGAAAGCCCATGCTTCTCTACACCAGTTAGTCTCCAAGATGCCACCCTGCAGGCCTGCTGGAGGAGGACACTGCAGGGACAGAGAGGTGAAATGATTTGCTCTAGACCATGTAGCAAGTTTGTGACAGACCTAGAATTAAAAACATGGAGTCAGATATCACAGTGATGGACACAGAGTGAGAATTTTAAATAAAACAAACTAGAGTCCTAGTACCTATTGCAGAGTCTATGTCGCCATGAACTGGGTTAGGAAGAGGCACATGCAATGAATATGCAAAATTCACAGATCCACCAGCAAGGCAGCCTACACTGTGGGCTGGTAGTGGGCTGTGCTATGTAAATGTTAAGTTTAAAATTATCATAATTCTGATATGTTAAAAGCCTACGTCTTTCTGTCTTTCCATAACGCTGTATTTACTCTCCAGCTGGCTGACAGAAACAGCCAATCAGAGTGCTCCAAGCATGGGGGAGCACTGCCATGATTCCGAAGCCACGCTGAGGACCAAACAGAGGGGGAGGGCACCGAGGCCAGCACCCTGCTCCCTGCAAGAGGCAGAACAGTGGCAGCATGGGGTATTAGGTGGCGGCACTCCATTCCAGGG